GTATATTCTTCATAAAGAAACAATACCTTGTTAATTTGTTACTTATTATAACAAAGATGTATGTAAACAAGTAAAAAAACTTTTTCCCCCTTTAGGTAATGGGGCAGGATAACCTGATCCCAATTGAACACAATTTTCCGATTTTGATTCTTAACTATACCAAATAGCTTATTGGATTTGATTATAGTTCCACTTCACAAGTGGATCTAAACATGGATCCTTACCTATGCTACCTCGGTACTTCTAAGTTCTAATCTGAACCGTATCCATACCGGACACGTACCCATACCCAAACTCCTTGGACACTCCTTGCATATATGCCTACATTTATTCAAGAATGTACACAATTAAACAATATATATTTTAATATAAAACACTTGTCATATATTTTTTGACATATATCCTACACTTCACATTCAATTATTGCAACTCGTTGGACATAGATCAGCTTCCGAAGTATACTTTTGAAATGAAGGGTCGTTTGGGTGTCTAGTTCAAAAACTAATTATTTTTTAATTTATAATACATACAATAAAATAAACACAAAATTGTCATAGGAATTTTAATTATCATCATTGTTCTCATATAAATTATTAATTCCAATATATAATATATGTGTATATAAATATTTATATAGCCATGTCCATCTACCCTGCCTTTTACAAATTTATCGTGTCTCATACCTGTACCTGCATCCATGCAACATAGATCCTTATGGATCCAAGCCCAATGACTTGATAAGCACTTTTAAAGACTAGTACGTCTAGTTTTGATTAAACTACTTTTTTCTTTCTAATCATGATTTGTTTAACTTTATTTGATCATATTTATCAATTCATATTGCTAAATATAAATTAAAAATAATATGAGCCACAAAAAATTGCAATGTATTATTTCTCATAGAAAATGACATATTTCAAGGGAAAAAATTAGGTATCATCTGAAACCTGAACTTAAATCCGATAAATTATCAGTATTTGAATCCTCAAGTAGATCCAAATAAAAAGCAGCTATATATCCTTTCTATAACACGCGCTATTTACTTCATGCCATCAGGCTTATCTGACATGGATTCCCCTAAGTACAACGTCCTCAAATCCCGACAACCTTTTTCTTACTTCGGTCAAATTTTAAAGCAGAACTGACTAATTTGTTATATTGGAGGTTCAAGTAGTCTAATAAGCATAATAAGCTTAATGCTCATGGTCCAAAATATTTAATACGGACTCCTAACATATCTCTCTAGAGTTCATCAGCATAATCATGAAGCTAAGATTGCATCTGATTTGTTCTTAATGATGGGTATAAAGCAATTGTGTTCGTTGTTCTGAACTCAATGATTTTGATATCTTGGTGCACATACACATGTTTGACTTGTTTATTTCCCATCATTTAGTTTGCCTAACTGCACATTTATGTATCTGGTCAGCTCCATGTAGCCATCTATCCTTACATATGCTTATATCTACTTTATCTGTGTCAGTGTCTATGTAGTGCATATATGTGTGCGTGTGTACACACACACTCACACACACACATATCATATGTTGCATGTCTTATCTAAACCAATGACTCGCACTCATAGTATAAAGACCTCATCCAAATACATTGCAACAATATATATGTAACATAAAAAAGTACTCACAATAAAACGCTCCCAGAAGTCTCCAAATAGTGGTCTGTCAATAGCTTTTAAGCTTTCTTTTGTAGCAGCATCTACACTCACATATAACTGTAACCATCAAATATGAAGTCAATGCTCCATTAGCAAGCATATGAGTGGAAGAACATAAGCTAAGATAAAATATAAAAAAAAACTTGCATTCATTGAGCTTCAAAAAACTCAACCTGGGTAATAGGTCTTAATGCCTTTATCTTTTCAGGAAACTGGGCATTTGTTACAAGAAAAGTAGATATATGCCTTCGATGTAACTCATCAACAAGTGAATTTATCTCTGGATACATAATCGGTTCACCAACAAGAGACAATGCACAATGTCGTGGAGAAAGACCTTCTGATAATCGCTCCTGAGTAACTCCTGCACAGAATTGGAGACGTGATACTTGATATGGATGTTAGTTGAAGAAGAACCCGAAATTGTAGTGCAGCACACGAGTCAATAGTAAAAGCTTGTAATGTGTTAAGATAGATGGTCGCATATGAACTTCTCAGACTTCTTAAATAAGATAGACGATCACATAGGAACTTCTCTGACTTCTTAAAAAGGAAAAGATTGATGTAGTACACATAACAAACAAATTCATGGAAAAGTGGGAGCGTCACGATCCAAACGCGGATACGGATGTTTTATTGACTTGTGCACAGAGAAATGACCATATCCCCAAATCCGGAAGGGGAATTCTGACATATTACATATAAAATCGCCTATCTCAACGAGACAGAGTCAATTAGCTTGACAGATTCCCAGAAGCCTATCAGTATCAACTGGTTTTGGAAGAATTTCAAAAATAATCAGCCTTTTGGTTATTTTAAGTAATAAATTTGAATCTTGTTTTGATTAGGAAATAAATCCAGTTTGATCTCAGATTTGACTGATTGATTTCCTCAATGATAGGGAGTCTTTGTAGAATAGAATTTGATACTTTCAATTTCTTTGTAATTCTAGTCTTATTAGGAGTCTATTTTATTTTATTTTTTTATTTAAGAAGAGACATATAACCCTAGAATTATAACATCACTTTTTTTAATAAAATTTCTCATTATATTTTCTTCGTGGATTCGGAGATTGTTCTTTGTACATTCAAAAGATCACCCCTTGGTGGATTCCAAGGTTTTTTTACTTCTGCACTGCATTAAAGATCCACTAGGTGCAATCACAACATTAAGGATAAGTAAGAAAGTTCCAGTGGCAGCCGAGAATCAGATGTACCTTGAATTACATAAGAAATATGGCCCAAGATGGTTTAGACACAAATTTTACCAAATCAGCTCTTGGAACTTGCTAGTTAAGGAAAATAAAGATGAAAGTAGTACTCATAACGTAGTTAATGTGCCATTATACTGATATACATACAACACTGCCAAGATGAATTGCTAGAAAATCTTAGTTCACGCAGGCATGATGTATCAATGATATACAACTCTGTATGTGTCACTGGGAACTAATAGAACAGAAACAGAAACATACCAGGAACACCTTTCATTTGCTTTATCATTTTAGTATGCTGATCTATTGCAGCATTTACAATCACCAGAGGATCATCCATCTTCCATCGCCAGCTTTTTCCTACAGGATTCGTATGATGCCTCCAACAGAAAACACATTTATTTGCACAAGCCAAACTTGGGGTTGCCTCCATGCACCTGTTCCAAGGGAATCAGACAGAAGGAAGCATGTGATCGTGGATGCATTGCATAAATGTGGAACGAAAATTAATATATAGATAACATAATTCCAAGTTGAACAATCTAATGCATACACTAGTCATGTACATAACTAAGAGTAAGACAAACATCTTTGTACTTCTTTTTCTTTATTTAATTTACAACTTTTGTCTCTTTAAGATCAAAACAACTTTTGAAGTGCATGTTACCCCTAGTAGTGAAAAATATTGTTCCTAGAGTCTCACACACAACGCAACTCGGGCCCTCTTCTGCTTGTTTTAGGAACTTTATTAGAGACTAAACATTGTTGCAAGTCTAATACACAAATGGAAACACCAAGTGAAAGAATGCAGAATGTTCGAAAAATATTTAGTTAAGTATTATGAAAGAACCTCAGACAATGAGCTCTGAGGGAATCATGGCCCTTTTTTCTTCTCAAACTTCGCTATTTGAGAATTTCACAGCACATATTTAAAATAGTAAAATTGACAATCCTACGACATATAGATACAAATCCCAACTTACCAAACATCTTCAAGATCAAGTTCCATGGTACATCTGCTTCATGGTGGATGCTTTGAACTTGAGTTGATGAAAGTAGAGAAGGTATAACTTCTAAAAAACAAAGGCTTAAGTCGGATTAATAAAAAAGTCTAAGAAAGGTTATTTTGTGTTGGAGGCATAAGTAAATGTTTGTGCGCTTCTATTGTTTGCATTGGACTTTTGATGAAAATGGCTACAATACTAATTATGACTTTAATTAGAGGTATATCCTAGAGAAAAGGCTGTTTGCAGAATATCTGTCCTTTGTTGGGTTAACACCATGTGACCTTTGTGCTCAGTTTATCTTGACCTCACATAGCTGAAGAGTTGTTTGGCAATACTTGAGGTGAGCTCTCTTTAGCACTATTGTGTCCCTTGCCAAGCGAAATTAAAATGATACTAAAAGGGCTTAGAACCAACATTGTGCAAATAAAAAGTATACGTAAATGTTTAGAAACAACATTTTGCAAATGAAACTTATGAAAACAAATTCATTTCAAAATTATGACCCAAAAAATTCAAGAGTAATTGTCCTTTGTTACATAGTATCAATCATTTATCATGATGGGGAGAAGGAGAACATCATTATAGAAATGCAAGGGTTGGTGAGGAAGAGTTTCTAGAATTTGGGTACTATGTCACGATAGAATATTAATGAAATCGACAATAAACTTTGTACGACAAGCTATATGACCACTCTGTCTCTGTGACAAGAACATTGGAAATTACGAAAAGGAAAAAAAAAAAGATGTCCAAAGAATGAGTATTACCAAAATGAGAATGTTAAAATGGACAACTAGTAACTTGTGCAGATTGTAGTTGATATCCAAGAATCTACTTGAGAATAGAGATTCCTGTGAGGATTCCTGTGTTTAGGAAAAGCTTACTTTATTCATGAACACTAGACTTCCATCAGAATCTCATAAAATTATTTCGGAGAACGTGATTCCTCACAAGATAGATGAATATGCAACATTGCTAACCTAATTGAGCCAAATAAAATGTCTTAACAAAAGATCCACAAACTTTTTATCCGTGTATTTTTCCCATCATGGTTAAAGTGATTGGTAATACTGACATCAATTAAGTCACAATGACCATTACCATTGCATTATTGTTGGTCAAATAGACCAAATCAACCAAGACAAATATGCTTGGAATTTTATGAAAGTTGTTACCCATAATCTTCACAATATCAAATAGATAAGGGATTTAAGTAACTGTTGGTTGATTTGAAAAATAAGAAAAAAAAAATCCGAGGCAATTTCTAAAGGTGCACATGGGGCTTGAGGACTGCCTATATAAAAGAGATCAAATCTCTTAAGAAAATCACAAGAAAGTGAATCGAAACCCCTTAAACAATCTCTAGAAAACATCACTTCTCTCTAAGCTATTATTAGCATCAAAACTTTCATCCGATCAAAAGTTTTTATTCCCACCAAAGCCAATTGCCTCCTATAGGCTCCATTCCCAAAGTTTTCCTGTGAGAGCTCTTCTCTTTCCTCCAAAAGCCAATTTTGATCTCTTTCACAAGAACTCTAATACCAGTCACAAACTCTCAAAAACTCTCTTTTCCAATGAAAGAGATGCTTTGTTCTTTTCCCACTCTCGTATGTTGGACTTGTATCTCAAATGGGCTAAGATCTAACTCCTAAAGTTCCTTCTCTAAAAACATTTATGTGACTTCTCGTCAAACCAATATTTTCTTCAACCGGCATAGTACACCTCATTAGCTTCAATCGACATTGTTGCTCCCTTATCCAAGTAGACCTTCTAGACAATTCCACAACACCTCCAGTGGATCAACACTAGGCACCATATCTCGCTTGGACTGAGCATCGTCGTCTCAAGATCTGATTTGATCTCAAGTCCGATCAGGTCAATTCTAATTTGTTTCCTCCTCAGATCGGATTATTCTTGCCTTCGGCCCAACTAACTGGATCCGACCCGTCTCCAATCAGATCCAATAGTCATTGGATAAGAACTGCCTTTTAGAGGAGGAAAGAGTCTTCTTAGGAAAATTTTGAGAATAGAGGCTATATAAGAGAGAGTTATTTAGACAAGGAAAAATAACTTTTGATAGCAAAATAGCTCTGATACTAGTAATGGCTTAGAAAGAGGATATATTTCTGAGAGATTGTTTAAGGCTATTTGATAGAGATTGTTTTGGTTTTTCAAAGAGATTAGATCTCTTTTTATAGAAGCAATTCCCAACCCCCTCTACCGCTTTAGTAATTACCTTAGATTTTTTTTCTCGATTTCTCCAACCAACGGTTCCTCAAATCTCTCAACAATCTAAAAATTCAAAGGATTGTTCTCTTGATTTATTTGGTCAACTTGACCAACATCTCCCGCTTAGCCAAACTTACCTAATGATGTGCCGCCGGCGATCAATGCTAATAATGCCACTATTACTATCATTGTCATCGTCACTAATGTTATTATTATGACTGCCATTGACCACCCCATTACTGAGACCTTCATTCCCTCTCCCCTTCTTACACCACTCTTCCGGCCACCATTATATTACCATAGCATCCACCATTAACAGTGCTAGCTCCATCAGTGTCACTTACTTTATCACCGAGATTATCATTTCTACCACTACCACACAATGTTATTCTGGAAAATATATGCTCAAGGGTCATACTTTTAGGAATATTTTTAACACACCTAACATGAGACAAAATACAACATAAAAATTTCAAATTATACCAAGCAAAGTAATACTGTAGTATTAGGAATCAAAAGCACAATATTAGATTCCTAATATTGTGATGCCACACGAAAATGTTTCTAAGTATAAAATGTAACTTAAATGGCCGGATAAGAATCAGAACATCCTAAGCATTTAGTGCAATCTCCATTGAGGTAAACGAGGGAGAATTAGTTGAGATGGTCTGGACGGACTGGTGATGGAAAAATCATGAAGTTTAAGGTAGTTCTGTAGTAGTTCATGTAACAGTTCATGAAGGCAGTAAGTAAGGTGTACACACAAGCTCATATATTTAGACGGTAAATATTAGATAATTTAAGCTTAACCGTATAGATTGACCCTTAGTATAGCTAAATGGAGAAAAGGGATTCTAGTAGCCGACTCCAAGATCAAAGAAGGCTTTTTTAATTCTTTTTTCCTTTTTTCAGTTGTCCATGTATGGATATAATGGAGCACACGTGTTGGTTGGATTACTCAGATAAGAAGTGGTTACCACCTCCATTCTAAATAAAAGATAAAGAAATATTTCTTTTACTAGTTGTGGAAGTTTGGAAATTAAGATGCTTATTGAAAGCACCTGCTCATATATCACAATGTCCAGTAGTACACAACACAAGATAATCTTATAGAACACTATCATTAAAATAGAACTCATCTAAAAAAGCAACCTAGATTGTGGCTCCTTCCCATCTATGTTGTGTTACATTTTATTTCTTGTTCTCTCCCCTTTTGTGTACGTCCAGGTGGGGTTTTTTTTGGGGGGGTGGGGGGTGGGGGGATACAAGCATTAAGTATCCACACGCACATTCTCCATAAAAGAAATTGAAGACAGAAATAGAGTTCATAATTATAAACCATTTGCAAATCTACTATTTAACAAATTAAATAATTGACAAACATAAATTAAGCTTCATCTCTCTGTCAGGAAACCAATACCTATGGCTCTCTATGCCATAAAATGAATGTTTGTAACAACCCCCACGACCTCGAAGTTGTGACTTGGTCCACCTACAAATTTTAACTCCGCTATGTGAGCCAATAATCTTGTATCCCTGCGTAGGTGCAAACAAATAGAAAGATGTGAGAACTTCAATTTGATTAATCCAATAGTTGTTCAGCTTCATCTCTGATATTTAATTTAGTTGTCATCGTCACTAATGTTATCAAATCTCTCAACTTTAATTTGGCTTCAGCTCTAGATGGCAACAACTATACTGATTCGCTTGTTCGAATGTTGTTATGTCTGATGAGGATTTAATAGATGGATTTATTTTTACATGACAATGACGGACGATCTAAGGTCTTTCTTGTTTGCTCGGCCTTACTTGGATAGGCATCCCTAGTCTGAATCAAAGTTTTCAGTACCAGTTCTAGGTTCAGATTATCACAATGGCTTCCAAAGTGAGGAATCTGTGAGTTGGTTCTCTTGTGCTCATAGTGTTACCAGCTAGATCAGTCAAGTATCAAATAGCTCGTTGCTGGTTTATTTGCATTACACAAAACATATATTTCCCCTCATAATAATTTATCCCGGTTGCCCTGAGACCACAGATTATAGAAGTTCCAAAATGAAAGCAAATGTCTCCTCTTTTGACCCTGAACAAAAGCATGATACCACATTTTAACTTGTCAATTGCTGATCCAGCTAGCAAATGCAACAGAAAATCAATTATCGAGATTAACCTGTCAGTTAATTTAAATTTTATCATCATTGATGAAATTAGTTAGGTCATTGTAAAACAGAACAAGGGATCATACCAGTTTTAGTACATGACTCGACTTGCATGTACCTTATTCTTTTATTTTGAATGCACTTGGACAGAAATCCATAAGCTCCGTATGTACTGCAACTTGCATGTGTGTGTGTGTCAGTGTATATTGCAGCTACGAAGTACGCTGGGAATGTTACATTTCAATATAAGATTTTTCAAGTTGGGAATATGATGGGTTCAATTTTCAATAGTGTGAAATCAGTGTCGTCTCATTATGCTCGCGGATAAATATGAGAAGGTTTTAATACAAAATATTTATTTTCCAATTAGTAGACCAATATGCTATACTTCAAAATTTAATACCCCAGAACAAAATAAGGATCGAACTTATAAATCAAACAAATAAAACCGAAAAAAGAACCAAAATCAGAAAAACCTCAGAGACCGACTTACCTGCTTCTGCAAGCTCGCTCTAACAACTGGCGTCACCATCTCTCTAAACCCATTCTCTGAGCTCTTCTCTCTTGCACCATTGTCACCATTCGCCAAACCAGAACCCGATTTTTTCGAAGGAGCTTTACCCGCAATATCCTCCATATCGACTGCTTCAGATTCAACTTCCTCATCCTCTTCATCATCATAATCATCATCTTCATCTTCTACCTCTTCTTCCAACACATCAAACACATCACTCTCAACCCCATCGTCCCCCCCTTCCCCCTTCAAAACTTTAACCACCCTCTCACTCCACAACCCAAATCTCACATCCAAATCCCCTCCATCCACGTCTCCCTCCGCCACCGGAACCAGCTCCGCCGCCCCGAGCGCTCTCATCCACAACGACAAATCCTTCCCGACTTTATTAAACCTCTCATCATACGCCCTCGATCCAACCCCAAACACCGCAAACTTACATCTTGACAGAATCAAAGAGCCAACCCTAAAGTCCTCAGCGCTCTCCGCGAGCCACTGCGCGAGGAACTGAGCATTAGACGGGGGCTTTCCGTCCTCCCATGTGGAGGCTACGAACAAAACTAGGGTTTCTTTGGGGAGATCCTCAGGCTCGTAGGTTTTAGGGTCGACGAGGTCGAAGGGGATGCTGTTGGACTGGAGGAGGTCGAGGAGGCGAGCGGCCAGGGTTTTGGAGGTGCCGGTTTGAGAGGCGAAGAAGAGCTTGCCTCTAGGGTTAGGGTTAGGGTTAGGGTTAGGGTTTCGGGGGGAGGAGAGGCGTTGAGTTCGGAGGCGGCGAGATTTGTAGAAGAAGAAGAGAGAGGAGAAGGAGAGGACGGTGACGAGAGCGAGATGAGCGGAGAGAGAGGACGGGGACGCGGCGGTCATTTTGGAGATTGTTGGCGCCTTTGGATCGGCGATCGAGAGGGTTTACAAGGTTTTTCGAGGTAATTATGGGTTTTTGGGGTTTTAGACGGCAGTGGGTACAGTTAC